TCAAAATCAATTCAAAAGGTGATATTCGTAATCACCGTGAAATTTTGCATCGAATGATATAGTTTTAAGTGAAAAATAAGAACTTGCAATTCTTTTGAATTAGCGGCGCCTTAGAGATGAGACCGTGTTCGTAAGAATTCACTAACATACGCTATATATAGTGACCGCTGACATTTTTTCTTTCCTTTCCTTTCGTGTATAGACAGGCGCCGAAAAGAAAATATCTTGTAGCTATTCATTTCTGTTTCGTTTTTACGAACTTTCATTTATCATGAGTGTCTAGATATATTTTCAAACAAAGTGAAAGTCCTTTTCGTCCTTTTTCTCTCACGCAGTGATTCGCTTCTTATGTTCGTTGTTGTTACTGTTTGTGCGTGTGCGTAGGCATTTTCTGTGAGTAACTAACTTAGTGAAAAAGGGATTAAGACCAGTGTTTTGCTTTGTGTGACGCAGAATTTTGTTGTTCTATCTCTTTTTTACTCAAATCTGTGATTTATGTTCAAAATTTAGCCAAAAGATCACGTTACTGAAGACCGAAAAGTTGACTCTGCGTTAACTCCGGAGAAGATAAAAAGTATGAGATGTGAGACAATGATGATGTACCCATAGGCAAGCAGAAAGGAAACATCAGATGGTTATCAGGATGTATAAAGCATTTTTTTTAAAACAAATTTTGTGAAATCTGCAATTTCTTTGCTGTTTGCTTGTTTCTCTTTGCCTCACATGAAACTTTCATTTATTTCTTTAATGTGTCTTACGAACAGACGAAAGAAAAAAAGAAAGAAATATGAAATGAATGAAAGTGAAAGTTTCGCCTTAACATGTTTTTTTTCGTGAGGACACATGTCTTGCTGTATATCAAACGTAACAATGAAAGAAAACTATAATAACTAGACACAAGACAAAAAGAAAGAAGAAATATAACGTAACGTTATTCTTTCATCTCATCTCTAATTTCTAGAAACACGGTCAAAGCAAAGCAAACATTTTTTGGGAAATTAAATTTTCTATATTTCATGTTCGAGACTCGATCCGCAGAAACGCTTCCTTCAAGGTGAAAAATGCTAATTACTCTCAATTAATATTTTTAATGTTACGGTTTTTTTCTGAGAAAAAAAAGAACGACAGAAAAAGATATAAGCTTCTGTAGTACAGTGGTATATTGCTAATCGTTAGGTACAGAGTTCAAATCTTTGCAGTAGCGTTATTTCTTTTTTCCGCCTGATTCAGAACCAAAAAAAAAGCACGTATACTTTCGTACTAGATTCATCGGGCATTGCATCGTGTAATCGGGTCAAACCCGATATTTTTTACTCTTTTATCTAGATACTTTTGCTGGAGCATCACGCCCGATACTCCAGCAAATATAACTAGATATTTTTGCTTACGATTTCGTGCTTGAGATGACTTTTTTTCAAACAGCACGATTTAGTCTTTTTCATTTTTCTGTGTGAATTGAATTTTAAATGTTCTATTGAAAAAATAAAAAATTATTCATCTTCTTACTCCGTGAACAAACTCTTTCAATTGTTACGTCAAACTTTAAACGTTCTCAATGTTCGTTTTCTCCTTTGAAAAGAAGCGAGAGAGTGACGATCTTATATTTCTTTTCACGTTTGTTCGATTTTTCATTTTTATCGTTTCATTTGACAGCTCAAATTTCTGATTTTCTTCAATTATACTTGCAATTTCACCATTCAAATTTAAAATTGTCATTCTATCTTCATAATTAAACATCTCTAGATTATCATCGTCGGTAGTAAAATTAAATATTATGCATCTGTTGTGTATATTGGCATTAGCACTTGTTAGTGATTCAAACCAACCTTGTGTTGTATAATTTTTCTTTAATACAATTTTTTCTTTTTTTAATTCCAATGCATATTTAGCTATTTGTCGACAATATCTTGATGAATACGAATATTTTGTGGCTACAACTACGAAAATTGAAGCATGTATCACCAAAAATTTTATTTCATCCCAAGATTTAATCTCATTGTTATCATCGTCTATTAATAATGGATAAACGGTGAATGTTTGTGGATGAATTAGTTGTTTAACAGACTGTTCATCTTGACTGGAATAGCAAAATAGAACAAATGGTTCTGGAATTTTATATAATGATGCGCTTTTTGACAAAGATGATGGTAATATTTCATGAAGATTATGTAAAATACATTTAGCTATTTCAGCTACCTTATGATCTATTTCAGACAGAGAATGAAGAAGAAATATAAGAATACCGTTTGACTTTAATTGTTGTTTTATTTGTTCATCATCAGAGTAGAATGTTATACTCCACAGAATTTTCATTAATGATTCACATGCCAGTTTACCACGATCATCACCATGAGTAACTGTACCATAGATAGATAGTAACGCATCAGAGAATATTTTTATTGAATCTTTTTTATCGTCCAATAAAAATGTTGATGATTCTGATGAGATAGATGAAGATGTTAACGAAGAAATAGACGAAGACGATGATGATAGTGATGATAAGTGATGTGATGATACTCGATCTATTTCAGGTTCTCCGTTTGTTAAAAAATATTTAACAATAAAATCCGAAATAAATAATTTTTCTAATACGACTAATAATTCAGATAAATGAAAGCCGTGATATTTCAGTTCTTTATGTTTAATTAAGTTACGACATGCTCGTACATTCTTGTTGAAAAGTGTATTAAGGATATTTTTTATTGAATCTTTAGATTGTTTCAAAAATGTTTCAATTAATTCATGTCCATCAATCAATATTAATCCCATATAATAAACTATATTCATGTCAAAATCTTGATAGTTTTCAATTGTTGAACGTATTTTGTCTAATATAACAATAGCATTTTCTTGTTTAAATGCATTTTGTCCTTGTTTTTGACGTACGAGATTATGTATAATACTAACAAATGAACGTTTATGTTCAAGATTTACAAAGGGTAGTTGTATCCAATCTAGTACGGCTTTTGCATAACCAGTTTCAATAAATGCTGATACAAATATTGGTTTATCGACAAAATTCCATATTATAAGTAATATTGATAAACAAAGTGTATGATCGCTGTTTGGTAAATTATCTTCCATTAATAATTGAGATAATTGATCATTTTCATGTTTACAAAAATATAATGTCAAATAATTTTTAAAATTTGTTAACGTTATTTTAAATGGTTCAAGATCATTTGATTCATACATATCATTCTGGAATAATGCTTGATTAGCTAATGTTAAAATAACATCAAAAATACTTTCATAATATTGACATATAGATAGTTCGTTTTCTTCATGGTTATTGTTATTTGATGTTGAATCTTCTTCATTATCAATAGATTTAAGCGATATTGTTGCGATATTATCAGTAACAGTGATATTGGTTGTATTTTTATATAATTGAAAATATTTAGAAAAATTTTCCGTTTTATTAATAATTTCAAATAATTGTTTAAATATTTTACATGAACGTAATTTATCTTTATTTAATAATTCATTGATAATATCTAGAGTAGCAATTTCTGGTACTACTTCAAGTAGAAATTGTTTTAATGATTTCACTTCTAAATATATCCTATGTTTATTAATAGTACGTAATACAAACTGTATTATATATATTAATGATGTTAACTGTGTAAACTCTTTTTCATTTGTACTATAATTAAATTCTAATAAACATTCAGAATTTTTTATTAATTTTTCGCAACTTTCTTCAATTTTCAAATAATCATCACCGGCTTCTAAAGAATTTTCTAATATTTGAAATTCTTTTTTACCATTAAATACATCTGATTTTTCTTTATTACGCTTCGTCCTAGTGTCCACCACTTCTGTTAACTGACCATTCATCTATGTATTTAAATATTAATAAAAATTGGATAGCAAAGTATAGAAAATTATACAAAAACTGAAATGCAGATCACTGTAAATATCATACGGAATTTCTCGGATTCATGTTTAAAGTTGTCAATATGTTGTTTGCTCCATATTCTCTATAAAATAATAATCACAAATAATTCTACATCTTTTGCGCAAAAAAAATTTCAAAACTCAGATTAAGTGGTTCTCTATAGTGAATGTACTTGCATGCAGACACTTGGTCAAGTACCCTCATAAGTTTTGTCCAACGTTCTTGAACTTTTCTGCAAGTAAACCAAGTACTTGTCAAGAAAATCAAGTGCTTGAATTACTTTATCTTCTTGTCAAGTCCTTTGCTAAGCACTTATCCAAGTAACCCCCAGGTACCTGTGAGAGGTTCAACAAGTAGAGCAAGTGCTTTCAGGCATTAATCAGGTAGCCCGTGGGAATGTACTTGAGATCAAGTACTTGGGTAAGTAATGTCCAGAGTTCCTGGAGTTTTTTGCAAGTAAAAAAGGTACTTATTAAGTAGTTTAACACATATAAGTACTAGATAAGTACTTCATCAAGTATTTGGTAGGTAACTTGGTAACTACTTGCGAAATTATACGAAATTATACGAATGCTAATTATAGAAGAAATACAACCGACAACATCATATCAATTCTTACGAGGGAACCGGTTTAACTGTCAAATCAACTTTCAATGAGACTTACTGGATTATAGGTTATCGACTATGCTGATTCCGAATGCGACGATGGCAGTTGCTTATAAGCCTCCAGAGATCCAGTTTTTAGAAAACCAGTTTTCCAGAAACTCTAAAAAGTAACCAAAGCCGTTCTTAATAAGACATGATTGTAGCCCAAAACCTTCTGACTAAAATGAGACGTCTCCCAGCTCTCCACGACCTTCCTTTGCAAAGTTATGGAATTTACAAGAAAAGCCCTGGGTTAATTTCTTATTTTTGTAGCTTTGAGCTGACAATGAACATTTAGGGTTTTCATGTAAATTCTATAACTTTGCAAAGGAAGGGTAGAGCTGGGAGATATCTCATTTTAATCAGAAATGTGCGGGCTACAATCATGCCTTATTAAGAAAAGTTTTGGTTACTTTTTAGAGTTTCTGAAAAACTGGTTTTCGAAAAGCAGAATCGCTGGAGACTTATAAGCAACTGCCATCGCCGTATTTGGAATCAGTATAGTCGATAACCTATAATCCAGTAAGTTTCATTGAAAGTCGATTTGACAGTTAAATCGGTTCCCTCGTTAGTGACTATCACAAATCTTGATAAACTTCAGTAATTTAGATCTAGTCTAGATAGAAATAGGTCGAAAGTACTCAAACAAGCATTTCGTTCGGGGATTAGAAGCTTGTGAAACATAAGAGTAGCTTAATTAAAGGCCGAAAACTTGGGTAGAATAAAGTAAAACTGAATTTTTTCCATAATCATATGAGATAGAATCGAGAAGAAGATATGGAATTCTAACCACAAAAGTTTGGTATACGAAACTTCAGAACACAAAATATTTTTGAATTACTGATGATCATTCGAAATAATTCAGATGCTACCAGGACACGTCTCAGAATATGATGCATTTCATCAGCTTAGAGTGAAAACAATTCACTTCAAAATGAGATATCTCCAAGGTCTGTAAGTTAATTGGCTAAAAAGATATGAGAATTTCAGTACATGTAGTAACTATACGCTTTTGGACCATGCTCGTTAGTTCTCTATAATTTATTCAGTCTGTAGATATTGCTAAGTGCCATTTCGATTTTCACGAAGTGTTCAACATAAAATTCTGAGTAAGAAAGCCGCAAGAATGAGCGGTTTGAACTTTGTATCGTTAGTTTTCTCTTAAAATGCTCGCCAGTCTGACGCGCCGAATGTGTGGTCAGGTCAGGTCAGCAACAGAAAGATCATTCCAGAATATATGTGCTGAGTATATCTGAACTCCATCTTATGTGATTATGGAGAAAATTATTATTACTTCTTTATTCTAATCAAACTTTTAGGTCTTTTATCGAGCGACATCTACTTTTGAGACGCTTCGAACTCCCAAACGAAACGTTTGTTAGAGATGACACTTGCAGACTATTTCTATTTAGAGAAGATCTACGTAATATGTGCAGTTCATTGAGGTCTGTGACGATCATTGAGCATCGCCTGTCCCGGTTCCTGCACTGACTTCTAGGTGTGAAAATGCCTACACTTTTATTACCCCTATCCTCTCCTCTTTTACCTGTACTTTTGAGAGCTTTCAGAACTGTATATGATATATTCATCGATATTGCTTTAATTTGATTCATTCACCGTTTTATTCTGACAGCACCGGCATTAGACGAGTACCGTAACCAAAGAAATATAGTCAAAACCATTCGCAGTGTTTTTTCGCATTTTCTTTGCTTAGAGTTACAGCAGCTACTTTAACTCCCGTAATTATATGTTGCATCTTTACTCCCTTTTATCATCATGTACCAACAAAAAAACACACGAAAAAAGAAACTTCAAAACCGGTTACATTCGATATTCTCATGCAGATGTGTTTCCATTACTGGATATATCCAAAATATCTCTTTTTTCTTTTAACTAGATATTCATTCTTACCCACGTAAATTAATCTAAAAACATCAGCTTTTCATATTGCATGAAAATTAGAATTTTTTCAGAAAAGAAAAAGATTCGCTTTATGTTGTTAGTTTTCGCCAATGTTGAATCTGTTTTTAGAAAGTTAGGTATATAGAATAAAAAGTAATGCGAACCTTTCTCTTTGATGTGATTTTTGTTTGAAAACGATGTGAATTTCAGACGTATGTCGAATAGAGGTGGTACTCTCCGGTTATCGTTACTGTAACTGAGTAATCAACCAGGATCCAAGGAATATCTCAGATAATATTTGGATTGAATTATAAGTCAATGATGAAGATGCTCGCGAGATGTCACTATGTACCGGTTGTCACACGCAGACGGCAATATAATCAAGATGCCGCCAGTAATCATCGTTGTGATGCCATCTAGCGCTAGGACGTTTTCGTGCTGCTTATGGCTCCTGTGTGTATGTGGTACCCAGTACATTACCCCGTATTCTTCATCATTCCCGTATAATTCCTTCCAATTATCATTTCAGATATTCCTTTGATCCTGTTTCCGTTACTAGTAACAGGTAATGAATTTCCATCACCGGTTACCGGCAACAGATTTTCGTTACCATTACTAGTTATCAAATAAAGCTTATAACCAACTAGTAACGGAAAAGCGTTACTTTTCATATTAAAGTAATGGAAAGTAACGAGAACGTGCCAGGCGTAAGGTGGAATGTAAAAGAGAAATTTTTGTCCGCTCACCATAGAACTTCGTATTGTCAACACATATTTTCTAAATTTTTACTCATACATGATTTCTTTAACATAATAACTGCTTTTTTCTTTTCTCTACAACCTTCATTCGATGAATTAACAATACCAGGCAAAAAAAGCTTTTTTTACTCAACTCCCTTTCATCTTCATTTATTGACTCTGTTATAATGGTGTAACAACACGATCAATAACATGAAAAACAGAAAAGAATGAGGAAGCAAGAAAACTCAACAGTAAAATGTGCGGTCGAGTGACAAAGTATGTGTTTTCGTTTTAAAAATAAATAATGGTACACAAATATGATGAAAAAAATTTTGGGATACAAAGAAGAAGTGAAGAAAATACCATAGCGATATCCTGTGTAGGGTAAACGTCCGAAATAAGTACAAAACTAAGTAAAATAAGAAACTCTATTTGGTTCACTCTATCATCGTGGAAATCTCTATCAAGATATAACGTAGATACAGTCCCCCGCGTCCTGACACACTCGGTTTCAGAAGGAATCATCATTTCATCAGGAGGCTTTTTCATGTTGTCGATTTATAGTTTAGTATTCCAGAAGCATTCCTTCAGTTGATTCCATTGCTACACACTACTGTTTGACACACGACTTAACGTGTGCTCCCAAGCGTAAGCCCAATTCATCTAGATTACTAGATTTTTACTCGATTGCAACTATTGGGTAATGACAGTGGAAATTTAGTAATCGGACTATTGCTGGATTTCTTCTAGTTGCAACTATCGATTTATCGCCCGATAATCTATCGATTTAACTATTGCTAGTCACACATGCAGACGCATCTAGTTAAAAGTCCCTTTTCCGACTAGTAATCTAGATGACAAGTAGTCGTGTATCGTCCGAGTACAGACGAAATGTATCTAGGTTTTTCCCATAAGTGATGTTTGCTAGGGCTATAATACCTGGAGGAGAGAATTTTCTCCCACATAAATTGTTTAGACACGTATACTTTCCGTCAGATTCTTTTTGTCTTAAAGCAGTCACTTTCGTTTCTGTTGGTACCGTCTGACTACTGCTCGACGTTACATGTGCAACTGAGGGAACAGAAACTAGCTATTTCTTATCACATGCTAGTTTGCATATTGTAACTTCAAGTTGGTTTTTCCCACAATTTGGGCACGTAAACCTGCTCATGGCAACTGTCGGCATTAACAACACAGCGGGCGCCATTCTTGATGCAGCAGAAACACTCTTCTTCTGAGTCGCACGTTATTGTACAGATTTCCCATCTTTTCTTACCACCCCATGGAGACTACTTGATATCTTTGTAGAAACAATACATTGTTTTTAGTGGTAACATCGGTTCTCCTCTAACGGTACAACTCTATTACCATCGTTTGTATCTAATGAGAAGTTTGATCAAATAAGTACTGTAGTAGTAGTACTGTTAGAGACTCTAACAGGAACGATGTTTTAAAGAATTGAAAGATAACGAAAATTGGAATGTTTGGACAAAAGAAGATAGAATTGCAACGACAAAAGTAATGAAATCTTTCTTCACGAACAAAGATCTGGCCAATGGTATCGAACAGTTTCTACATTTCTATTCTTTGATGGTTGTTAAAATCAGAAGCGAAGCTGTCTGCGAGAGTGCTGCTTCAATCTTGAAGCAACA